CCGCGGGGACCCCCCGGCCAGCCCTGGTCCTGGAAATGCAGCCGGCAGAATACTGCTTGGTACATGGCTACGCATCCTGCCCTCGGGGATCGCAAAGCTGAGCCACACCCTGCTCTGCGTGCTGGGACTCCCCCCTGAAGTCAAGCGGAGTTTTGGCTGAGTAAGGACTGCAGGACTTGCTTCATTAGGAGATGCTTCACAGCGCTGGTTTTGAAGCTGGAGAAACTGAGGCACGGAGAGGTTAAATGGCTTGTCCGGATCCTACAGTCAATCAGTGGCTGAGCTGGGAACAGACCCCAAGAGTCTGGGCACCCCAGAGTCTGGCTGTAACCACTAGACTAGACTGTACTTCTTCCTCATAAACAATAATATGAATATGGCAAAATGGAAGGTGCATTTCCAGGGACAGGGGAGCTATTGCACATGCAGCACCAGGGCATGGAGTCTCCGAATACATTCCCGTCTAGCCAGAGGCAAGACAATGGCTCAAAGGTGGATTTGAAGGCCTCGCTCTTGAGGGGTATTTTAGATTAGGTTTTCAGGAGGTTATTGTATAGGTCCTGTGAGCGGGGCTGTATTATAAAACTAAGGAAACAGATATACGAAGTGGAAAGGTAGGCCCATCTTTGGGATTGGGACCCAGCTTCTGATCCCACTCCCCCATCACATCATGAAGGATGGTTTCTGGATAAAGAACAGACTCCTGACGTTCATCTCATCGGTCTGGTCTCCGCCCCAGCAAAGCACAGAGCAGCCCTACACCTGCTTAGTATGAAATGGCTCCATGTGGCTCCTTAATCCTAGCTGCCATGTCATAGGTTCACCTTGGTTACTGCCTGTGCTGCACAGTTGCCATGGCAGCCCAGCCCAGCAGTCCATGCTCATTTTCCAAGAGGAGATGTCACAACGAACCTGTCTGGCTGGGAAAGCCTGGCCCTGTGTGCTGTAATTCAACTCCTCCCCTCTCCCTCTTGGACGGACTGCCCCGTCCCCTCCGGTACATTATGTGGAATCGGGGATTATAGCATTAATCTCCTCTAGCCGACCACAGAGGCCGCTCGGATCAGAACACATCCATTTTCAGGATCAGCTCTGACTCTGTAAACTGCTAATGCTGGGCTCCAAACCTCTCCACCGAGCCAGAAATGAAACAAAAGTTTGCACTTATTGACTGGCATCAGAGGGTATGTCCCTAGTTTGAACTAGGGATGCAAATGTAGGCATTTGAAATAGTCAATGAAGCGGGAATTTAAATATCCTGAGCTTCATTAGAATGAACTCACCGGCGCGTTACTCTGATCAACAGCTATTTTCAAAGTGAATGCGCCGGGACACATTAGTTCAAACCAAACCCCTTGGTTCGAACTAACTTTACTCCTCGTTTATTTGGTTTGAACTAACATGTCCCGGTGTGCACTTTCACTTTCGAAACAGCTGTTGATCGGAGTAACGCGCTGGTGAGATCATGCTAATGAAGCACAGGATATTTAAATCCCTGCTTCATTGACTATTTCAAATGCCTACATTTGCATCCCTAGTTCGAACTAGAGTGCAAGTGTAGACATATCCAGATACATCCAGCCAAAGCCAACGCCAACCAATAAGTAAAAACCCTATTTACTGAGCAATGCCCTCATGCAGTGCTAGAAGGCAGACAGAAGTCCAGTGTGTTCAGAAAGAAAGGAGGGGATTATTTTTAAATAGGGAATCTTCCCAGAGAAAGAGGCTTATAGTTACCATAGGAACCCATAGCTGTAGCAACTTCCTCACTGACACCATGGAATCTGGTTCTGTAACCCTTGGGGTTGGCTTGCACATGCCAGATCATGGAACTCTTCTGCCTCCAAGAATAAACAGCTCAGTGGTAGGGAGCAGTGTATTCCCCCTTTTTACACCCCTACTGCTGATGCTACTGTGTAAAGGTCATTTAGTTAATCAAGGGAATGTTGCCAAGCAGTTAGGATAGGGAACTGGGACCGTCTGTTTCTTGTTCCAACATAATTTGCTGGGTGAGCTCAGTCAAGTAGTTTGCATATTATGAGGCTCAAGGAAATTCAGGGCTTGATTGTGGTGCTTACATGGGAGCTGGGCTCTTTTGAAATAGAGATCATGCTTAGTAATAGTGGCTATTTGTGTCTAAGGCCCCAGCTGAAACCAAGGTTCTATTGTGTTAGGTGCTGTACCTCCTCCATATACTTTATACTATAAGGCTACATCTACACTATGAGTTCTCAGCAAGAAATATGCTAATGAAAGACTCATTTGCATGAGTCAATCTCATTTGCATATTTTCTGCCAATCTATTTTTGTGCAAAAACAAGCAGTGGGGATGTTTTCTTTTTGTGCAAAAACCCCTTTTCCGCAAGAGGTATGCCTACTTTTTGGGGCATAAGGATCTTGCGGAAAAAGGGGTTTTTGCACAAAAAGAAAACGTACACACTGCTTTTTTTGCCCAAAAACCCTAGTGCAAAAACGGATTGGCAGAAAATATGCAAATGAGATCACAACTCATGGAAATGAGTCCCTTATTAGCCCTCGGTTTAGCTGTAACTTCTTGGGCTACTGGAATATCAACAATAGTTTCTTACAGTTCCTCATCTTCGTTTCTGGGGCATGGTAGTGTACTTTTGGAGCACGTTTGCTGATTTCAGCAGGGCTACTTAGGAAATACACAGCTGGTCAGTTAGGAAAAGTGGCAGAATTACTGTGCTTTCTGTGAGTAAATTAAAGGCCTGATCCTGCTCTCAGATAAGTTAGTTGATCGTGAGTGTGGGAGCTACTTGGGATATTCAAACAGTTCCCTAGATAAATAGGAAATTCTCCCCCCCCCTCCCCCCCGCACAGAGGAAATCTGCACACAAAGTGCTGAGTAATGCCGAATCAGCAGCCAATGCTTGGCATCTCTGCATTCCTTTCATTTATACATGAAGAATTTGTGTAACTAGCATTTCTCTGGGCAGCCCACTCTTCCGGTATAAATTCAACAGCCTCTGCCATAGAAGGGGGCAGGGAAGAGTGTGATAGGAGCAGGGGACTCTGTCTCCCTCAATGATGTCTATATATATTTAAACCAAAGTCCAGGAGAGCCAGCAAGCAGCATGACCTATTGTGTGACATATGATCAGGCTGTTCCAGCCAAAGGAATAGCCCCTAGAGCTAAGGTGACTTGGCAGTGTCAGCAGGGAACTAGGGGGCATTAAACTTGCACATGGATGGGACAGCAGGGACTGACTGATCAAAAAGCATAACCTACACTGATTGAATTAAAGGACCCACGAACCTGCCACAGTACCAGACTCAAATCTCTTATGTGGCATAGCCATTAGGGGACAAAACCCGTGCCACATTAGGTGGATTACTCAGGCTGCTTGTCAGTGGATTATGGGAAATGTATATAACAGTTGACAGCTGAGAACTAGAGAGAGCAATGCAAGAAGAGTTTGCTCCCCATGCCTTGAATTCTGGAGAACAGAATTTACAGCAACTCATGATCTGGCAGGATGGCTGTAGGAGCTTTGTCTGAGCAAGGACTCCACAACTGAGTCCAGCTGGATAAAACTGCACAAACAATAACTGATCCCAGAATTAAAAATAGTTTTATTAAGTAGGTTTGCTTTGGTATCATTCCAAGGGCACTTGGTAACAAAGGCAGCACAGGAACCCAAGGCTGCAAGCCAGAACACTGGAAGGGAATAGTTCTGCCTGACATGGTGGAGCTGCTGACAGAAGTTGAGTCTTCCAGCCTGAATTCCAAAGTGACCACACTCTGTTCCAGTTCAAGAAACCTTTAACACAGAGTCTTTCAAACATCTACAATTCAGTTTCAAAGGGCCACAGCACAAAGATGGGCTTTCCAGCTGTGTGGCCCAAGAGCACTGCAAGCCATTTCCAAAACTTCCTTCCCAGCTGTCAGCTGGCATCATTTAACCCTCCCCTCCCCCCCACCACACAAGGATTTTAAATAGATGCAATTATAATTACATGTGTGCACACAATATTTCAAGACAATGTAAAATAAGACTCTCCCTACAGTTTAAATTAGATACTTCTTCCTATGCTTCCTGTCCTAGAGGGTGTGCTGTTGAACAGCTAACATGTACCACTCCAGAAGTAGCTGCACTTTCAGGGGGAGATGAGGGGACTCCTGTAGCTGTTCAGATTTTGCAAAAGCACCTTGGGATCTTCAGGGTTAAAAGTGCTATTGAAAGGTAAGGTGTATCATTCAAGGTGTTGAACCAGAACTGGCCCCATTTTTCTGGCTAAAAGCTCCCACCTTTACTGAGAAGAAGTGAGCTGTGCCCACGAAAGCTCACAATACCATCTACAAGTTTTGTTACTCTTTAAGGTGCTGCTAGACAATTTGTTGTTTTTTAGGTTTTTTCCAGTGACAGACTAACTCGGCTACCCCCTGAATCCTTGGAAGGTCAGGGCAGCGTGTAGACCACATCGTGGCGCCTGGAATGCAGGCTAATGGGAGCTGCACACTACTTTGAGAGGTGTGGTACATGGCAGTGGAGTGCAGTCGGGAGCTCCAGGTAGGACACTAGGTCAAAAGTCCCCACATTGGGACAGCGAATGAGACAAGATATCTGGACAGACGCTATGGACTGCTAGCCCAGGAGCTGGTGGCAACAGTTCAGCACAAACACTGAAGCACTTGAGGCTTACCCTCTGTTCATTCCCGCTGAAGCTGCCCTGGCATTGACCTCTGCAGGAAGACAGGATGCTGGGCTAGATGGACTGTTGCTCTGAGCCAATGGTAGGCCAGTCTGCAACAGAGGGGTCTCTTTTCCCCACACTGCACCCCAGCATGCCCACGGGAGCACAGACATCTCGCTTCTGTTTGGCCAAGTCCCAGCAAGAGACACTTTTCAAAATTCTGCTCCACTCGCTCTTTAAACTGACTGAAGACCAGGGCCCCCAAAGCCCCCAGGTCTCCTGCCACTTTGCTCTGTATGGGAACAATTCACCCGCCCGACACCTGTGCCTTGCTTTACAACCAACAGGAAGAGGCACTCTTGGGATGCCCAAAATGCCGACAGATGCCAGCTGAGATCAGGGCCCCACTGTGCTCATATGAGCCAACTTCCCCCCAGACAGCGCACAGTGGAAAGGACAAGACAAGCAAAGGGCGAGAGGAATGGCTACAATGGACAGGCAGTAGACTGGGAACAGAGACACAGAGATTAAGGGCCTGAGCTACAGCCCACTGCCGTAAATGGGAGTCTTTCCATTGAGGTCAAGAGGCTTTAGTTCAGCTCCTAGGTAATTTGTCCAAGGTCACACAGGAAATCTGTGGCAGAGCTTGGGTGTGAGTCCACGTCCCCTAGTGCCAGTCCAGTATCTTGACTACAAGATCATACATCTTCCCCTGGATCACTCACCTAAGCTTCCTCTTAAGGGTTTATGTGAAGGGAGATGATGAATTTCACCCTAAGAGGCACTGACTCAAACCTCAGAGTGACTCCACTTTTCTATGATTTGCAACCTCCTATACATATGGAAATGTTTAATACTGGATTAAATATTCATCGTGGTTCAAAGACACAAAACTTTACATACAGTCCTAGGCCCAGAGCTGGGAGCTGAGGGGGGTGGGCTTGCAGAGACATCAGGATCAGCTTGCAGCAATGGGCGGGATGAGGCCTCAAATGCTCTGAATGACGCCCTCGGTTTCCTCTGCCTCCTCCCGGCGGAGTGTCTGGGAAGGACGGCACGAGCCCCAACATCAGAGCCGCAGATCAAGTGGCAGGGATCCTGCAGAGGCGGGCATGTGTCAGATCTGAGATGTGCCTTTATAGCTCCACTGGACATGCTGATTAGAGCAGCCTTGCTGAAGGAGCCTTTACAAGGCACCGTGCCTCTCAGGATGCTCTGCCTGTTGCCAGGTCTGCCGGCGGCGTGCAGTTCCTGCACTGACCCCCACAGTGCAACTCCCCCAGGCAGTGCCCCGAGCCACGCCGTGCGAGTCCCATTGGGCTGCAGCCTGTCACAACAACAGCCTGAGGCCTTCCCCCAGGAGCAGCATGTGGGCCGGGTGCCCCTACCTGCCCGCCCACGAGGGGTGAGTGAAGACAATTTTCCTTCTCTTTGCCCAGTTGGAGAAGACGGCCTTCTCGGTGATGAAGCGGTGCCCGCCCCGGTGGGCTCTCTCATGGGTGAGGTACATCCTGCATTCATCCATCTTGCCCTTTTCAAAGTAGTGGTAAGGCACTGTGGGCAGGTTCTTCTCCCTGCCAACCAGAGCAGACAAGAGGTACCAGAGTTACAGAATCATAGAGCTGGAAGAGACCTCAGCAGGTCAGCAGGTCCAGCTCCCTGCCCAAGGCAGGACCAACCCCAACTATATCAACCCAAGTCAAGCTGAGACTTAAAAACCTCTAGGAATGGAGATTCCACCCCCTCCCTAGGGAACCCATTCCAGTGCTTCATCCTCCTCCTAGTGAAACAGTTTTTCCTAATATCCAACCTAGACCGCTCCCACTGTAACTTGAGACCATTGCTCCTTGTTCTGCCATCCGTCACTACTGAGAACAGCCTCTCTCCATCCTCTTTGGAACCTCCCTTCAGGAAGTTGAAGGCTGCTCTCAAATCCCCCCTCACTCTTCTCTTCTGCAGACTAAACAAACCCAAAGCCCTGAGGGTATGTCTAGACTACATGCCTCTGGCGACAGAGGCATGTAGATTAGGCTACCCGGCACAGGAAAATGAAATGACCTCCTGGGATGAGGTTTACCTGGGAGGTCAACAAATGCCTTTGATGTCGACCGCGGAGTGTCCAGACTACCGCACTGAGCCGACAAACAGCTGATCGGGTCACTACGGCAGCCATTTAAATTGAAATGAAGCAGCGATTTAAATAATCCCCGCTTCATTTTCCTATGCCAGGTAGCCTAATCTACATGCCTCTGGCGACAGAGACATGTAGTCTAGATGCAGCCTCAGTCTCTCCTCATAGGTCATGCGCTCCAACTCCCTAATCATTTTGGTCGCTCTCCGCAGGACCCTCTCCAATGTGTCCACATCCTTTCTATAGTGGGGGGCCTAGAACTGGACACAATACTCCAGGTGTGGCCTCACCAAAGCTGAATAAAGGGGAATAATCACTTCTCTGGATCTGCTGGCAATGCTCCTTCTAATGCAACCTAATATGCCATTAGCCCTCTTGGCTACAAGGACACACTGTTGACTCATATCCAGCTTCTCATCCACTGTAACCCCCAGGTCCTTTTCTGCA